TACATACTATATGTTATAATAGAGTCATAAAGAAAGTAGAATAGAGAAGAGACGGAGACAAGAAAGTGAGAAAATTATATTGTGTTCATTTACTTGCTTCATGTACTTCATAACACAAATGACATGTCTTATTTATAGGCATAGTCTTACAAATAGATTACACTTATACTTAAATGATAGATAGTAGATAATAAATTACATGAATATGAGTGGAGGTGAATTACAAGATTAAAGACATAGTGGAAGAATAATAGATTAGTAAAAGAGTAATGTCTAGCAGGAGTTGATAAACCTGAAGCGGAAGAGGAGATGGACATCCATGCTTATGATATTCATAACACTCCCCCTTAGATGTTTATTATGCAAGAATGTGCCTCATTAAAATACTTCAACTAGGAAAAACCCAGTAGAACAAAAACCTAGCAGAAGTAAAAGAATACATATTCATTGATACACTATCCAATAGTGCCTCATTAAAAAGCTTGCTAAGAAAATCCAGTGGCAAAAAATCATAAACAAAGAAAAAAGAGTACAGTGTATTAACCCTCTTTTTTGATAATAATAATTGATATCCTTGAATTTACAACATTTAATATTATGAACAAGCTTTTAAATATCGTAGCAAAAAGTGAATTGATGAACAAATTTACTAGATTTTCATTTGAATGGATTTGCTAGATATTAATTTCAACATAATTCTGAATATCATGACGCAAATACTCCGTTCGGGATTACCAATATGTGGCTCAAACAAGAATCTCTAATCTGCATAGCCAACAAGATTAATCTTGGTTATATTCAGATAAAATAATTCCATTTTCATAGTACTCTTAAGGTAACAAAAAATATGTTCAACTCTATTCCAATTTCTTTGTATTGGTGAAGAACTATACCGTACTAGTAAGTTAACAACAAATAATATGGCAAGTTGTGCATGGCTTACAAGACACAAAAAAATGCACTAATTGCACTAAGATATGGTACTTCTAAACTTGTGATATAATACTTCTTATAGATGCATCTATCAAATTTATCAAATACTTGTATAGTCTACATGCTATCTGAATGGGCCCATTATGTATGAGTTTGATGTATTTTTAGAAAAGTATAGATCTGTATCAAATCATAACTAGTAATATTCTCATAATTAATTTTCTCTTAGAACAAGCAGCACATAAGAATTCTGAAACTATATAATATGTTGGCCATTATGAAGAATCTTCTTGTTCTTCAATGGATATCAATACATAATGCTTAATAATTTGTTGCATCATATATACAATTCAAGATGACCAAAAAATTCATACCAACAATAAATTAGATCAATAAACTTCTAGTTTTGTTATATCATGTTTCGTAATTAGCGGTAAACTTTTTAATTTCTATGACATATGATTAATTTTATATGATATCCATTTGTGAGATTAATTGAGCTGTGTGAAAAAGTATGAGTTAGAATTCTATCCAAAATCCACTTGCACTTGCATTCCAACAATCTCCCCCTTAAGTGTGAGTCATTCAAACTCTTATTCATGTATTTCAAAACAGTATGACTAGTATATAATATGATGTTAGTGGCAGCCCCACCCAAGAAGAGGGTGAATTGGGTGAGTTATAAAAATATCGCAAATTAAAAGCAGTAAGCTTAAATGGAAACAGAGAGCTTAAGTTAGAGAGATTTCACCGAGAGAGTAGACACAGAATTTATACCGGTTTGGTCACAACCACTTGACCTACATCCAGTCCTCAAAACATCTCTGAGTATTTCACTAAGTTTCAAGATTAATCGAGCTCTTGGTGCCACAGTACAGCAATTGATTCGCTCAATCACTCTCCCTTACTATCCGTGAGGTTACAATCCCACTCAAGAGTCCACACTCTTGAGTTTCACTCAGAAAGTAATTAAAGATGATAGATAAAGCTTTCTCGCATAGTAAATAAATGAAAAACACTAAAGCTCAGTATAAGCAAGAACAGAGTATTGAATGCAACAGTAAATTATTGACAGAAGGTAGCTCGCATATTCAATCCATGCATTCAATGCTTCTTCGCGCCTTTTATAGTTGCAAAGGTTTAATAACCGTTAGACGGAAGAGCTTCTAGCCGTTGGAAGCTATTAATGCTTCTGACATGGTAGGTTACAGGCTATTAAACAACCATTGGATAACCGTTGAGTTCTTCTTTGTAATCTGCAATAATACGTCAATCAAATAAATTTTTCTTGCAGATTAAGGCTTAGGATCATAACTGATTAAATAATAAAAATGAACATTTAGTGTTTGAAAGTGGATTCAATCAGTTGTTAAATATGTTTAAATAGGAGCTGGACACGGTTCATCGAAGTAATGATCGATGACTGGTTGATCGATCAAATTATCGATTAATCAAATAGAAAGAATTTGACACAGGCAAGTTTATTTATCGAACAAGTTATGGATTAATGATTTATCGATCAAGTAATCGATAAACGAAAATAGTAACTTCATAAAAGCATCTAGAGAAAAGGCTCAAGGTCACTTTTGATTTTGAATCCTTTAAAATAGAGAATTAAGATAAACAAGAAGGCTGAGAAAAGCTTAAAGGGAAATAATCAACATATTTTGAGAATCACGGTAACTTGTTGAAGTTTAACTGGAAAGAGACAATGATTGATCAAGTGATTGAAAAATATTTGATCAATCATGTTATCGATAAAGCTGAGTAGAGTAAAATAGATTTTCAACGAGTAATAATCGAGTACTTTATCGATAAATGAAAGATAGATACTTTGAACGATAAAGATGTTTAACAAAGATTTTCTCAAAGTGCACAAAACATATGATGATCGATTAAGTGATCAAAAAAGGATTGATCGATCAAGTTATCAATAAAGATAGTGGAAAGGCTAAGTTTTGATTTGCTAGGAAAACGTTTTGATCGAACACGTTATGTGAAAATAGAACATTCAGAGGTTTGAGTGATCGATCAATTTATCGATGCATAGATTATCGATCATGTGATCGAAAAAGATAGCTTAACACAGTAGCATAGTAAGATAATGATGATCGATCATTTGATCGATAAACTACTGATTGATCAAGTGATCAATAAAAAGGCTTTGTTTGCACACTTGAACAAAACGATAAACAAGTAAGTTATAATGCAATGACAGAACAAGTTATTGAAAAACCTTTGATCGATAAATTGTGATTAAGACAAATACAAAGTGCGTAGAGAGCTGTACCATTTATCTGTCTTTTCATCGATGACTTATTTATCGATCATGTGATCGATAAATACTTACCAAACTTATGTCTCATTATCTGACAGTTATTCGATTATTAGATTATTGATCAATTGATCGATAATTTTCTGTAGGCTTTTATACACAACTGTGTTAACAATGATCAATCAATTAATCGATCAACACATTATCTATCAAGTTATTGATTAATATTTCTGCTAAATTACTTGTTTGTATAGGAAGGTTATCTATAAAATAATCAATAAACCCTTGATCGATCAGATGATCGATCAACTTACTGAAACACATATTCCTAAATTTGTTATCATCAAAACCTTAAATCTAACATATGACAATAACCTATCTTTTGCTTTAAAACCCAAGTACTTCCTAGTTCATATAATTATGGATTTTAATCCAATTAAGCTATCACTTTTAGGCTTTTTTGTCCTTCTATAAAAAAATCTATATTAGTTTTTCAGGAGCTATATTAATATTGTCACATATAATTCTTTAAGAACTATAAATTTGAGAGGGATGTGAAGAAAAATTCATTTCAATTTATCATTAACATAATAATGAATGATTATGAGTATCAAATATTTAACTTGCAATATATATAAAGAAAACACAACGTAGAAAAATCTTTGAAACAAACTTTTGAAAATAAAATGCAAATTGAACATACCATTCAAAACTTCTCAACACTAATAATCAATTCTTATAATAATTCTCACAAATTACAATAAATTTAAAGACTGATAAAATTCAAATACTCTTTGGTCTTAATTATAAAACCTCATTTATAATTTACAAATGAGATCTTATAATTAGAACCGGAGGTAGTATTATATAGCCTTCTAGACATATGATTATATCTTCTATTTTTATAAATACTTTGGACATTTTTCTTCACAAGTTGTTACCTTGGGCATCTTTCATAATATCTCATAGTTTTTTTGGTTTCATAATCATTTTTAAAATTCTATGAATTTATATATATTTTTCTATATGACTTCTGGTCATATTATAACACTTGCTTATAAGTTTATTGACCGAAGAGGTATTACTCTTTCCTCTGTTATGGTTCAATAGCCAAGACCAAAAAAATTATTACCCTCCAACTATCAATTCCACTGACATAATGTGGTTATGTTCTTTATCCTCTTTATCAATTCCTCCAAATATTAGTTTTTAGGATCATAGCAAATATCTTTCAAAACTACCATACTCTTTTATGTCATTTGATATTTGAACCATTAGCCTTCTAAACTTTGATATTTGTAATTATTATATTATCAGGTTGTCACAATCTTATCATGTCATTCATTACAATCACAAGATGGTCTTTTATCCAAAGATCATTATCATCAAAAAATTGGGGATATTATGGTTTCTGGCCATCTCATAAAAAACAGAGTATTGTGGTTATTGGCTTTTCAATAAAATTAAAATATCAATAAATATCTAATTGATTATTACAAACATATATATAACAATAAAATTTGAATAACTCAACTGTGATGAATGGTAAATCTTCAACATGATGAATATCAAATCTTCAATTACCCATGAATCGATGAAATAGATGCATTCTTAGAAATTGTAAGTTCTTCATTATCAGCATAAATCTTACCAAGCCATTCGAAGTAAACTACCTTCATTTGATGAACAAAAATTAACACGTATCAACAAGATGTAATGAACTCATTCAGTAGAATATCATACTGATAATGTGTTTTATAAAAAGAAAAATACAATGAACATTTCACATAAATTTTGTTAACAACCGGAAAAATAATTGACATTTCAAAGAAAATCGATCTCTACATTTAAAAAAAAAAAAGTCGCATTTCTACAAAAAGGATATAATTTGACCTCGAATTTTTACAAATCGTGTAATGTACACCTAAGAAATCCTGCCAACCTGCTCTGCTTCAACTTCCCAAGAGGAAGATATCCCCCTAACTGAAAATAATCAAGATACTATAGCACATGCATTCTATAACAGTTACTCCTAAAACTGGCTCTCATACTGGGAAGCCAAACTTAAAAAAAGAAAGTAATTTTACAAATCATCCTACTCTCAAATCAGTTATCATTTTTTCTGGACTTTGGGCTTTGACCTGGCACTAGCTCGTCTGGCAACATCCCATGCCTTTTGTGGGGCATAGACACCTAACTGTGCAGCGAAAAAGGACTCGTACCCAGGCGAATCAAAAGCAAACCCTGTGTGCTTCGAGATCTCGCGAGGGAGTTGAGATATGGCATAGCTTCTTGCCTCTGCTGGTGTAAGCTGGTCCTCTATCTCCAGCAGCCGTGCCCTGCCAGTACCCTCCCCTTCGTGCCGATGCATTTCCTGAACAATCTGATAGTCATAGGGGAAGAACCACCTTTGAACCCTGAAACCAGACGAACCAAATTAGAAAACGACCGCCAAAGGAAGAAAACACAGCAGGAACAAAACTATCATACCATCAAGTGATTAAAACTGTTCATCTCTTTCAAATGCTTTACAAGATCTCTTGCCCCAAAGGAATAAAACCAAAAATAAGATGTGGTAACTTGTAAAGCGCAAACCATAAATGACACACAGGAAAGGTCATATAGTACCAGCAATTCTCTGATCAGCTATACCAAAGTAGGGTAAAGATATACTAGGGAAAACTGTCTAACTCATGAATTACAGATCCTTTTGCTGTTTCAACGTTTTAAACCCTACTTTGATATTAGATATAAGGGTTGCATCCAATTGACAATGCAGAACTGGCCTATCATTGTGCATCATTCTGTACACTCTCATGAAACCTGGCTTGGGCCACACTAACAACATAAGGTCTCCAACCATTGACATGCATATGTAATAGGCGTGAATTTGAAATGCCAACAGCTCTTCAAATCTGAATCTTACCCTTGATAAACAAAGTCACCAAAAAGTGCGACAACGGGTACTAAAATAATTGAGAGGTAGAAATAGATCGTACTCATCAAGACATATATGACAAAATAAGTATTCCCCTGCAAATAATGGAATAAAACGGGTTAAGGTTTACAAGGAAAGTATTGCAGTCTATTTTTCAATACAAACAGGCAAAAAAGAAAGTGTTAAATAAAGACTGACCAAAAGGGGGATAAAAAGATTGGTAAACAAAGAGGGAGAGAATTGATTCACCTGTCCAATGATGGCGCAATATATGAAAGCAAAAATAAACCATGCTAATATACTTCCACCAACGCTGATAGTGTGCCACTTTGTAATTGAATTACAAATCATAAGAAGCCGCAAGTTCACAGTTATTACAACACATGTGAACGCCATTGTACTGACATCCCAAACTCCAAATGTTAGGCCAGCTGAATTTTTAGCACTTAAACTTGCTGCACTAACAAAATAGTACAATATTAGAGACTGGTAAACCGAAAAAAAGGCCCATATTGCCACAACCCTCCATTTGAAGAAGACATTTCTTATCCCCTCCATGTACAACTCAGGGTACTTCACGGAAAGAGATGCACTGACATCCTGGAAAAGAAAAAAGTCAAGTAACAAATATATCATCCATGAAGATCCGAGATATGATAGTGTGCAAGGGCAGAGATATGATCTTCAAATATCAAAAATAGGAGAACGATGAGAAAATAACATATAGGTGAGAATTCCCTCACCAAACACATTCTAGGAAAACAAAAAGTTCAGTTCTACATGAAAGAAGTTAATGCAGTACCTTGTCAAACAGTCCAACAATGATCACTGGTAGTGCTGTGAAGATCACATTATACAATGACTGAAACCAATCATCATAGAACCTCTGACCAGAAAACCCAGTTTGAAAAGTAAACCAGAACTGAGTGAGAGTGAATGTGAGATTCTTGTAAAAGAAGTACGTCACCACCTGGAATCACAAAGCCAACCATGCTGAAAGTTACAACAATTAAAAAAAAAAAAAAATTACACAGATATAATCTGCAAGAACACAACACCTTGCATATTCGAAGATATGACCACCGGCCATGAACAAGTAATAAATCTGCAAGGTAACGAAACTGTGCAATGGCAAAATCACTAGCCATTACTGCTTGCATCCCCTCTAGCCCACTTATGCCAACACCAACATGAGCAGCCTGAATCATGCTGACATCATTGGCTCCATCACCAATACTAAGTGTTATTTTCCGGGCACCCTTTTTGACCAAACTTGTGACCTAAATGCATTGACGTTGGCATAAAATAAGCATTCTCCCTTAACATAACTCTACAAGGATCACCAAGATGATGGAGAGTTAAAGTACAAGCAATTTTGCATTCAGCACATTTGTTTTACCTGTGCTTTCTGTAAAGGAGAAACTCGGCAGCAAACAACTGCATGACAATTTAAACTCAAATTCAGCAGCATCACTCTTAAACTAGGATCTAATGCATACATTAGACATTTCCCATCAATTACAAGAGCTAATTTAGGTCCAGATAGAGATGAAAGGTAGCTCTGTGCTTCCTCAAGGCACTTCTTCAGCTCTTTTTTCACTTCTTCCTTAGTGACACGTGCAATTTCCACTTGGTCACCCTACAAAAAATAGACAAACATTGCATCCAAAACATTCAGCAACATTAATGTTGTTTCTTCAAAACATGGGAGCTAAATAATGCAGCTTACCCTTTCCTCCGCTTCTCTAATCACATCTGTTTCAGAACTTATGACAAATTGCTTCATCTCATTGTTTATTAGATTGCATGCTGCAGTCATAGGAGGGCAATACAAGGAAGAATATGAGTTATAGCTTAATAACCAAATATTTTTCGGCACAAAAAGATTAAGGATAAAGATAAACAAGCTCTTTTTTAAAGCAAGTCACCATAGGCAATATTTATGGCTGTTTCAATCTTATCTCCTGTGAGAACCCAAATTTTAATGCCGGCCCTTTGAAGAGTCTCTATAGTATTTGGTACTCCTTCTTGAAGCTTGTCTTCTATGGCAGTGCAACCAATCAAAACGAGACCATGTTCTATAAGTTCTGCCACCTGTATTATTTCCAGAGGTACAAGTTAGAATAACAGAGTAGACATCACTGCACAAGAAAATTAAAATGACTTGTAAATATTGTAATCAGAAAAGTTCAAGCTCCTCTTCAACATTTTTGCCTGCTGCAAGACCTCAACAAAAGTCCATCTGTCTTCATATTCTAAACCAGTTAGTTACAGGAAATTATGAAAAAATATGGCAGAAATCAAAGCCATTTTTCAATTTAAATGCATTTACAGTTCAACATAGGATGCAATTTCCTTTATATTACTATAGTTAGATGCTATGGAGTACAGATGTTTTTAACAAAAAATAAATTTACTGTCATCATGACAGGGATTCCAGTCTGTTTCTGCATTTTTTTTTTTTGTGGCAATTTTTTTTCAAGGCTCATAGTGTTCAAACCCCGCTCATTCATGTCAACCCCCCCCCCCCAAAAAAAAAAGGCCCAAAAAAAGGTCCCAGCACAACTGTACCCATGTCATTAATGTACCTTCCACCACAAATGCTATTGACAAAGAGATAAAGCAAAGGGAAGAAAAGCAGCCACCACATACAATGTTTACCAAGAAAGCCATCAAAAGAGTAGTTAAAATCACTGAAAAATATATAACATTTCATGATTAATATGCAGATGTAAGATGCAAAAGTAAAATAAAAATGTACCTCATCTAACTTCTTTTCACGATCACGAAGAGATGACTTGGCTTGGATGAACTTCTCATTCCAGCTTTCATACACATCAGGGGGCAACTCTTTGTAGGCTAAGCATAAAGTACGCAGTCCAGCAGACCCAAATTGTTCCAAATGATCCCTAGTCACTTTCTTTATGTCATTATAACCATCAGCCAATCTCTCATAGATTACACTGTCAGCACCCTGGGAAAATAAAGTTCCTGAGAAGGTGTCATCTTGGCCAACAGCTGTGTGATCACAATCCTGAACAGAAGCCTCAAGAAACAATTACCTTACAGTATAGCACAAGTCTCCCATCTGGATAACGACATACAACAGACTGACGCTTCCTTGTACTATTAATGGAACAAGGGTAACAAAATAGTGTCAAAACCAAAAATCTAAACCTTAAGGCTGAGCACAGGTAAGAAGGATGAACGAATACCTGTTAAACTCAAGCACATTCAAAATCTCATAAGACACATCCTGAATTTTACCCATCTTTTCAACATGAGATTCACGAACATATATTGAGGTAGGTGTGCGCCTGAAACAGAAGAATATTCATTACGGTCAAATCAAGCTGCATTAGCCACCAAATCTAGCATCTCTGTAGACGAACTTTTGGAAGAAACAGGCATAAAAACCATATTAGATGTATAAATAAATCATGCTGGCATCAAGCTTCTCAAATTAAGGCTCCTCCCATAAAGGAGTAGGATGAGATATCTTCAATAACAAAGACAACAGCATAAGCTTCAATGAAGCTCATAATTGTATAATATCCTGAACAATAGACTTGTCCAAATAATAAGCCCATGACAGCAAAAGACTCATCTAAAAATTAGCAAGATTCTATGCATTATATTCTTCTATGTTTGGCATATGCGTTATACTTGACCAAACATGCACCTATTCTCAAACACATGCAAAGTTCAAATACGTTGTTTCCACTATACCTTTCTTCCCCCAAGTAAAGTGTCTCAAGCGTATAATTCCTAAGAGTGGAAGTCAAAACATAGATAACAATAAATATTAAATAAATCAATATACTAAGAAAGTGAGTGGTTATAATAGGTGTTCCAAAAACCAGATCGGAACAGCCAGTTTAGACTGGAAACTAGTGAACTGACTAATCGTCCAGTCCAGTTCACCTATTGAACCATGGGAAAACCAACCCAGCATAACCCAGTGAAGAGGGGGAGAGGAGGAGGAGGAAGGAGGAAGAAAGTTGGATACGAAGGGAGGAGGAGGAGGTAAGGACGAGGAAAAAAAGACAGTCACCACCATTTTACTTCACCGTCGTTCACACTTCATTCTCCTCTAGTAAGAGTCGTCCAGATCTATATAGAGAGAAACCATGGAAGCCGCTGGAAGTTCAAGAATCAAGACCATGTTGAAGAAAGAACGGGTAACACACAATGAAAAGGAATGAAGAATTGAATACGAAGGCACTGCTGGAGAGTTCAAGAATCAAGGCAAAAAGAAGAGTCTGCCAGTGACTTAGCCTTTAGTGTGTTGAACACTCATAAAGCGCAAGAGAGGATTGGCCAAAAAAAAAAAAAAATAGAAAGAACGTGTCACAATAAGGGATTTAAAAAGGAAACCATGGCAATAACCTTATAGCCTAGTAGCATGTAAGCTTGCCCTGTAAATAGGAGCTACTTGTAACCTCAGGCACCTCAGGTCATTAGTGCCTACCCTTTTAATTAAAAAAATAAAAAATAAAAAAGGAAACCATAAGAATAAAGAACTTTCATACATAAACAATGTGCCACAGCCACTAACCCTTAAATATGAGTGGTGAGTTTGCATATCTTGAATAAGATTAAATATGATCTTTTTCATGTTTAAATATGAATATTTTATACATTTTAATTAAATTATATTATTTCAATCATTATTAGACTCTAAATTCACCCCAATCTAATCCACTAATCCTTGAATCATTGCCTCTCCCGATTCAGTAACAGGTCCACTTTTTTGAACCTTGCTTATAATAAACACAAAAAACAAATTCAAGGAACACCACTATCTAATTCTTTCAATAGTTTTACCATTTATCTCCAAAAAAGTGGAATGACAAAAATGAAAATGTCTCGTGTAGCATTACTAATGGCCCAACGGTTCAATAGGAGTTGTATGCAAACCACACAGGTAGACAAAAGGACAAATTAAGCAGACAACTATGACATGGGTAAATAATTTGAACCTGTAAAAGAAGAAACCGAAGTTCTTTGCAGCAATAACCAAAGCAGCCTCATCAGGTGATGCAGCCTGATATCTGATCTTTTCAGGGGACTCATCACCCTCAGGAAGTACAGTATGACATATAGCAAGACATCTGAAAAATTCCTACAGAGTGGACAAAGAATACTACCATATCAAACTTCAGGATCTATAAAAACCGAAGCCTGGATTGAAAACATCCAGGAAATGATCTACCTTGCAACTATCAGGATTAGGCTCATTCCTCCAGGCTCCACGCATAAGCCTTGTATCATCAAAATTAAAACCCTTTTCTTGCACAGCATTGGTTGACCTATTTTCCTGTGGAGAAGGTTTAAACTTGGGTTAATATAATCATTCGCCCCCCAAGTTTGTCCTCATTTTGGTTTTAGTCCCTCAAGTTTCAAATCACAGATTTTGGTCTCTCAAAGGGTAAAATGATTCAAGTTTTTATTGGACTATAGAGACCAATGTTTTAAATGAAAAAAATAAAAAAAAAAACTTGAGAAACTAAAACCTACGGTTTGAAATTTGAGGGACCAAACTAAAATAAGGGTAAATTTAAAAGACCAAAATTTGTATTAATCCGTTTAAACTTTACAATCCTGATCCCCTAAACTAACACAAGTATGATATCAATCATTCAAAGAACATGTGTACCACCTGCATTCTAATGCCATTGCGTTCAGCCATTCCTCTCTCAATTTCAGTGATGCCATTTCCATAGATCTCCCCTCCAATTGAACACTTGAAGAATTCCATCAAGTTCCTTGTCAGGGTCCCAGTTTTGTCAGAGAAGATGTATTCCACCTAATAAATCAGGAGTGAAACCGGATGGCATCAATAACCCAAAACTTTGACAAGCTATATACATAGTCGCTTAGTAAATTAACATATTTCAGTCATATGTCTCCTCTTACTAATACACAACATTTTGTGACATTACATTTAATATCTATAATTGCACCCAAAAAACAGCAACAAAAGGGAAGGAAGACAGGAGATAAAAGGCAACGAGACTCAAACATGATGATCTCCTCGCCGTCAAAGTTACAGATACAGCAGCAACAATCAGGACACGAGACCATACTGGATGCGACATGATTATATCAGGCATTATTTTCAGATAATACTGATCATATAAAGTTGTATCCATGTCAAGATTCTGAAAAGCAGTGTGCTATTGACCTAAGCAGGAAGATCCAAGAATACTTCACATCAATTATGCCATAAGGCAGTGCTAATGAAACTCACAACAGCCTGATTCTTTGGAGATACCCCTTAGGAAAAGATGTGAGAGTGAAATTCCCTCCAAAGGCGTATAATAAGAAAAGGAACTTCACATAGTAACCAGCAAGTTGAATTATGAGCGTGAAGGAGGGATGAAAAAAGATGTTCATCATTATGCCAGTTCCAAATCCCTTCTGATATTTGAAAGAGTTGGCTCAAGGCAGTTGAAGTATCATTACTTGATGAAGATTAGTATGCAAGGAAGACAGTTAACGGTTTTAATGGCAATGTGTTTGACTTGTCAAAGATATAGCTGCTTAATGCTCACAAAACAAAACTATTTTTCTTGGTTTTTACTGTTTTGGTTTTTAGAGATATTTATTTCTATAATTCATTTGTGGGAGTTCTTTTCTTTCTTCAACGTGTTTTCCTTCATTTTTATGATTTCCGGCAGTTTTTTCCTTTGACAATGAGCTTTTCTTCATTTTTTATTTATTTTCCCATTCATCTCTATAGTATCCGTTCATCATCAATGTCTTTAATGTCAGGTGACAAGAAAAAAATCCTAACGTAGCAACTTACCTGCCCAAGTTCTTCATTTAGATTGGAAGTTCTAGCCAACGCAGGGGTGTTGGTCTCACTGTGGTACATGCGCAAATCTTTGTTGATAAACTGAGTGCACTGAATAAATTTGATCATCTGACACAAATACCAAAAATGAATTTTCCCTTTATAAAGAAAAACAACGTTATTTGGGTATATATAAATGGCCATGGCACAAACCTCTATTGACACGTAAAGTGAAATGGGGATGATTGTCGAGTATAGAGTGATGAGGGTAAACATCGTCAAAGTAATAACCTGAAGGCATAAGAAGAAAAATTAACAACAAAGGTCAAAACGGGAACAAAACAATAAGGACACTAGTCATGGAATTAAGCATATAGTACCAAAATTCTATTCCCAGGGTTGAACTGCCCAGAACCCTCATCACCTGCATTAAGACGTAAGTAGAAATACTTGTTGTTTACGAAGATGCCACTGCAATTTACATTAATCCAAGACATCACTTAGAAATCAACAAAAACAAATAAATAAACACAAAAATCTAAAGCCCGGTGCCAGTAAAACCAACCACAGCCCCACGCCCAAAAGCATAAACATATATGTAGTTGTGAAAAGAACTATGTTTCCAATTCACACACCTGCCAATGGCTCCAAGTAAACACATTACAAAGAGAGTCGCAAATAGAGCAAGTATGAGCCTGTCAAGCTTCCTCTCCAATGTACTTCTTTTGGAAGGAACATTCATTGTATTCATCATTACCTACATTGTATTCCAAATGCATGAAAACTGTACATCAGCAATGAAAAGGAAGAATACAGCAACTAGAAGAGAACGAAATAACAAAAAATTATCTGGCACAACAAAGACATCCCAACTCCCAAGTAATTTCATATTGCATATTGCGGAGCATGAATTAATCTCCACAAAAGAAAGGAAAAAAGCAGGAGTATTTACTATTACTTTAATCTCCACAAAAGAAAGGAAAAAAGGGGAAGCACCAAAGCAGGAGTATTCACTATTAAGGTAAAGAAAATGCCACCCATCAGAAAATACCAAAAACATTAAATGCCAGATTTGAAACCTCAATAAAAATGACAATTATTACAATATCAAAAAAAAAAAAAAACATACAATCAGTTACACATCTCATCCATTAATGAATTATAACCATTACATGTCTTGAACCATGGACTAGATGTTTAAACAAAAACTTGTTGCATAACATTACCCATCATTTCATAATAACAAACCTTTGTTTCATGTCCGGTAAAAATAACAACCCCAACAATATACTCTGTATTCCTGAGACTGCATCCCTGAAAATGCACAAAATTATAAGAAGTCAACGCCTGTTTGGTTTCATAACCAACAAGGAACAAAAGCATCAGGACTTATCAATAATACAGAATTACATAAAATGCTTCTAAAAATAATCATAAATAGACAAAGAAAATGACATTCACTCGCTCATTAAAGCTGCAGGAATTCAGAAAAGTTTATGAACAAACATGGAACGCACACAAACACAACTTTCAACACAATGAGGGAACAAAGCATAACATACTCGCAACAAAAGTTGGTTAGGACTGAGAGGCAGTGTTTGCTTTTGAATTATAAGATTCCCAGTGAAGGTATACAATGAATTGTTTGGTTGTTCACACTGCACTTCACCTGCAATTAATAATTACAAAAATGCAATTCTGGTCAGAATATGTAACAATAAAAAAGTATCTATTTTGCATCATTTTATAAATAAAAAAGAAATTTTCATTATAAGGAAGAATTTAGACCTAGCTGGAGGATAAGAAATCCCCAAATAAGAAAAAGGGCAGCTCAAAACAGAACACTGCAAATCCTATAAAGCCTAGCAGTAAAACAGCATTCCAATCCCTTCAAATTTAACGTAAAGAGGTTTGCCTAGGAAACACAGTCGCAAAGCACCAAAGGGAAGCCATGTACAAAATGCATATTCCATAAAGACTTGATAAAGAGAATGTGATTTAATCATGCATGGCCATGAAAATTTTTCCTTCTTGATACCATACCCTATCAAAAAAGAAGAAATTTTTACAGCATATTAGGACACACTTAACGTTAGAAGGACTTAATACATAGCACACAAGCTATCTAAATATAAGCAGTATGTTGACTTAATATCTCTGTAACTGGAGCAAAAAAATTCCCTTAGCAAAGAATGCTAAGAAGGAATAACTGAGATGAATAAAAAACGGCTGAAAGGTAGTCACCAAGTACCATGTAACTTCAACACTAAAATCACAACTGTAAAGTCATGGAATAACTCAATGGGACAATCCATAAAAAATACATACCTTTAAACTCAGATGCCTTCTCTGGAGTCAGGTAATCCCAAGTCTTTTCCAATGCTTTCCTAATCTTCAAATTAGTTTCCCCATCCAAATTGGAAGTCTGTCATGCAAACTTAAGATTAACAAGTGCAGTTAACTGCTAAAGAACAGAAGGATGCACCAATTTTTTACATTTAAGAAGAGGAAAAAACCTCAATGTAGCAGACACCATCAGCATTGGTACTGGCCAGGAAAAGCAGATCTGCGGGAAAGAACCCATCCTGCTTAACCTGCAACAATAAACACATTGAACTTAAAGAATGTATAAATAAGAACAAAAAACCAACAGTGACATCACAAACAGAAATACAAATTAAAGATCTTAGATTGTTGGATTAACTCAATTATTGAACAGATTCCATATCAATTTAAACAGAAATAAGTAAACAGAAGAAGAACTTTACAATTCAAAAACATAATATTCCTATCCAAACTAATGTTGACAACTAATCCTCACCCCAAAAAGCATTAACCCAGAAAAAAAAAAAAAATCCATAAACCATTTCTGCTCTTGAGGAGAAATTTTTGTTAAGAAAAAGTTATTCTACAGATTCAGCCACTTCATTTCTGCACACAAATAACAAACTGGATTAACAAGACCTAATCATATTGTTTTGAGAACCCTAACCATGTTGCTGAGCAAAGACACGCACACCAACGGCAGGAGTGGGAAAGAGATAAAAAAGTAGCTGAAGGAGAAAGGCAGAAGTCTATTGCTGAAGCCAATTTCAACTTACAAAATTCAGATGTTATTATCCTCCTAGAATAAGTCATATGTAACCAGCCCAATAGTATACCAACTCCAAACAGATTACAACCCAGAAGTCAAAATTAATTAATATCATATGCTTTTCATTAGCATCTGTCCCTTCAACTAACAACCAGAAGAGATCAACAAACTAAACATCTGATGCACATTACGGAACTATCGTGAGCTACAACATTGTGAAATTAGGCAGAATTATTCTGACAAATTGTAAAGCTGCAACAAGCATTAAGTTACTTAAGCAAAAGGTCAGTCATTACATGAAGAAATCCCTCCAAACGAAAATAAATGTCAACTTAAAATGATACAATACGGTAACATCATTATTTTGAACATAAGGAAGCATGATAGCAGCTCACAAAGATGCTGCAGAAAGTTTAGAACATGCCATCAATTAGCATCATATACTTCTATTTAAATACAAGTTCAAATTGCAAAAGGCATCAAAATTAATCAGGTACAGGTATGACATACCCTGATGACATCTCCAACCTGCAACCTTTTCCAGGGTATGGAAACCCACTTTTGGTCTTGCAAAACATCAATCAAATTGTTGTTTACGGCCAAGTCATTCTGAAAGCGCTTCTGTTGTACAAAAGTTGAGGAAAGTTGATTATTAATAATTAATAAAATGAATATTAATATTAATTAATATATATAAATATAAACCTACTGCCATAATTAAATAATTTAAATATTTTTTAAATAACAAGGCAAAAGTCCAAGCATCAGGAAATCTCATAAAATACTGAAAGAAAATAATTATTAAAAGTCAGGCCGTCATAATCACATTTTGACACAAAAATAACATACCCACATCAATCCTGCAAGGACAGTATGCAAAGCAAGATTGAAATCCCTATTCTACATGAATATTCATTCAAAATTTACCTATGACATCATCAGTTGAATTTCCAATAAAAAATCTTGAAAAGAGACCCTGAATCTCATTCAGTTTCCAACCACTATACTAATGCATCTTATTTATGGAAGGAACCACCCAAGAGACTTCAGGAAAAGAGGACACAAAAACAGTAATAACAATAGATAGCAGTCTCACCCAGTCCTCAAAAGCTTCCTTAATAAGAGAGATAAGAAGCACCAGTGATAGAGGAGCCACATTAGTTATTGGAGACACAGGACTGCATCATCAGAAAACATGTAATTAGACATGCAGATATATACATAATAATGCAACAAAAAACAGATGATATTAAAATAATAAGCACCATATCAATTACTTATTCCTTGATGACAACATCTAGGTCAATTGAAACATCATAGATTAACAGGAGAAAATAATGTGAGGCAAAATGATTAAGTAACGAGAATATAACATGGTAAGGTCGAAAGGTGAATTCAATGCACAAAGTTCAAACAAGAAAGATAAGTCAAGGGCCAAAAACACATTCAAGGCGCAAGACCTCAAAAATACCCATGGTGAAAGGTGCAAAAAGGTCGAAACAGCGTACCATAAATTCAATGCACAAAGTTCAAACAAAAAAGATAAGTCAAGGGCAAAAAACACATTCAAGACACAAAACCTCAACAATACCCATGGTGAAAGGTGCAAAAAAAAGAGGGCGCTCAAGGGAAGCAAGGTGCAACAACAATATATATGCAAATATAATCTACAGGGCATAGACAATATTTATTAGAAGGCTTTCTTATTCCTTAATTAGATAACTTCGCTATCTTCTTGTAATTTTAAATCTTTCCGATTATTTATAAGACTTTCCCATCGTATATTTTATATCTTATATGTCAATATAAATATTCACATATATAATATTTTATTTCTATCTTATCTCGAATTCCAACTTTCCTATTTGTTCACCAAAAGTTTTCTTATTAAATTTTGAGTTTTCCTATTTTTTATCATAGAATTTCTTTTCTTATAGTTATATTTTATATACATAATTTTCTTTTCCTAAATTTATACCGATTGACTACCTTAACCTTTTGTTAACCTAATAAAACAGTGCTAACAGACTTAAAAGACCAAGAGAATACAGTGGCCGAAAGTGGCATATGCTGGGAACGACACGAAAGCATCAAAAAGAGCCAGCGGAAGTAGATTATCATCTACGAGAGCATCGTGTGGAAGGCTGCGAGCATAAGATTAAGAACCAGAACTGAGCATCAAAGAAAAACAGAACCAAACATCGTTTGAAGCACCCACACACTCCATCGCTCAACTCCAACTCTAATTCCACCAAACACCCACTATTGAAATCAGCAACTCCGCTTCAGCCAACATGGAAAAACTGAGTCACATAGCGCACCCATCATCCATCAACCAAGCGCCAAAGTCGCTTGCTTCTTCCTTCAAATGAGATGCAAAAGGTAAGCTCTTTTTTGCACCTGATTGAAGGTGTTGCCTCTTCTTCTATGAAAAGAAAAAGGGGATATGAAATAACTATATTAGATGCATTGAATGGCTGTGAATTGATTGATATTATACCTTCATGACCAGAACTTCTTGTTTCAGAGGGTGATCAAATGAGTAATTTTCTCACCTAATATGGATCCCATAGTACCCCTGATAAACCAAAAAAATCCATAACCCTAATTGCTATGGAAATACCATTTAGTTTACCTATGCCTGTTTGAAAGCAGAAGGTATTCCGTGTGGATCAAACAATAAGGATTAGAGCAAATTCTGTTAGTTGCAAGCGGATGGGACTTTATTGTGCCTCGCATAATGCCTTAGGCATTGAGGTGCATGCCTTTGACTACCTTATTCTAAGTTGAATGACACCCAAGATAGGTTCTATAACGGTCAAATAAATAATGTGTTAACAAAAATACTCAAGTAAAGATGTAGCAATAAAACTGATGTGCAGAAGCAAGGAATTATAGAAGATTAGACAAATTTGGCCAAAAGAAAATAAAAGACCAGATGGAAAAAGAAGCACATAAAACCATTAGGATACACTAGAATCAAGAAAGCCTAAGCGTAAGGGTAATCATCTCAATATTCCGGTTTAATCACAATCACAGAACTCGTTGCAGTATTCCATAAATCATAATAGATAAATATTTAGGGGCGCTAGGATTTGAAAGTTGTAAGTTTAGGCAACTCTATATCAAGTCTTTGGCTGATTTTAGAAAACTTATGAAGTTTCAGTGGGTCTCGTTGAAGTTTAAATTTTCCTTTTATGGTTTTAGTCTAGTAGAAGGGTCAATTATGAAACTACTAAGCCCAATCCATTTCCCATAAGTTAGAGGAAGTCATTTAATAATCCATTGCTCTAAAAAATTATCAGCTTTATGAAAGGATATTGCTCTTTTCTAGATTATGTGATGTGAAATGCCTAGGTTGCTCTTCTTTTCATCTTCTTCTATCAAGTTTCCTTTAATTTTTGTTAGAATCGAAGAATTGATTGCAACAGATTTCCTAGCCGTTAGAATCTTATCACTAATTATATGCTCTTTCCTTATTTGTAGACCTAGAATCATGGGTATTAAATATAGATTGATTACCCATTATTACCCATTATTATTTCCATTTAATATGATCAGATTTCATGCCCTCTGTAAGAAATCTGATCCCTATTTATGTAATATAGCAATCAGTGGAATAAGATACAGAAATATTCAGTTCTTTCCGATATGGTATCAGAGCTTTCGGAAAGAGAAAATGAACAGTGATGAGTTCCCACCACTCCTCTCTGGACGTCGACCGAACCAGGCACAGAAAGGGCCAAATTCGATCGCCCTAATGGCCGGATCATCTCCAACCAGTGAGTCGACATCGACTCACTCCAACCCAACGTCCACTGAGACGAACACGACCCTCCAGGGAGCAACCATGGCCCCAGAACTCACCGCTGCAAATGAAAATCAACAAACCGTGATAGCGCACAAGCTCAACGGAAGTAACTACCTCCAGTGGTCACAAAGTGTCCTAATGTACCTCCGCGGAAGACGCAAAGAGAAGTATATCAATGGTCAGGCACCACAACCAGCCTCGGATGATCCAAAATTTGATACTTGGTTTGCCGAGAACAATCAAGTGATGACCTGGCTGTGCAATTCCATGACACTGGAAATCAGTGAAGGCTACCTATTAGCGCAGACAGCCCAGGAAATATGGAATGCAGCCAAACGAACCTATTCTTCTATGGACAACACTGCAGCACTATTTCAACTAAAGAAACAACTTAGAGAACTCAAACAAGGTACTTTAACGGTAACCCAATACTATAGCTCTCTTATGAGAATATGGCAACAATTAGATTTGTTTGAAGTTCACTCATGGAAATGTTTAGATGATACTCAGTATTACAAAAAGCTAGTTGAAACAGAGAGAACCTATGAGTTCTTGTTAGGACTCAATGACACATTTGAAGAAGTAAGGGGCAGAATCATGGGTCTTAAGCCCATACCCTCACTTTTCGAAGCCTTTAATATGGTGAAATGTGAGGAAAGCAAAAAACAACTCACTCAAACTCCAGTGACCCAAAATGAAGCTTCTGCAATGGCTGTCAAAAGTGGAAACACCACAGACTAGAAACGAAAAGGTGACAAATGGTGTGAACACTGTAACAAAAGAGGTCACACCAAGGAGATTTGCTGGAAGCTGCATGGGAAACCTTCCAATCTGAACAGCAGACAAAGAAATGAAAGAAAAAGCTACCATACAGAGAAGAAGGAGGAAGAGGAAGAGAAATTAAGTCCAGAAGAGGTTCAGCTATTGAGGCGAATTCTGGAAAAACAGACCAGTACTCCAAATGTTAACCTAGTAAAATCAGGTAACTCTATAATTGCCCTAAATGCTATGGTGACTAGTGATGATGTATGGATTGTTGATTCTGGGGCCTCAGATCACATGACTGGTAACAAATCTCTGTTTAGCAATATTAAACTCTGTCATGAAAACTTGAAAGTAAAAGTAGCAAATGGAATTAGTGCTAAAGTGTGTGGATTAGGAACTGTTGAATTAACTGACTACTTGACCATACATAATGTGTTATATGTGCCAGAGCTCACTTGCAATCTCATTTCTGTAAGCAAACTGACCAAAGGTCAGATTTGTCATGTCCTATTTGATGACAGTGGCTGTATTTTTCAGGATTTAGCCTCGGGGAGGATGATTGGCAAGGCTAAAGAGTGGGATGGACTTTACTACTTCCACAAGAACAATAAGGAAACACACCAAGCTATGGTTAGCCACAACACACAAAATAGAGATATTTTACTGTGGCATCATAGGTTAGGCCACCCTAGCTTTGATTATATGAAGCACTTGTTTCCACATCTCTTTAATAAAGAAAGCTCTATTTCTCTTACCTGTGATACTTGTCAATTTGCCAAACAAACCAGAACCACCTACTCAAAACAACCATACAGACCCACTGCCCCCTTCACACTTATTCATAGTGACATATGGGGTCCAGCTAAGACAAGGACCCTCTCTAATGCTCGCTGGTTTGTTACTTTTATTGATGATCACACACGAATGACTTGGATCTTTTTATTAAAGGAAAAATCTGAGGTTTTCGAAACATTCAAAAAAATTTTATGTTTGTGAAAAATCAATTTCAAACCACAATCAAAGTTCTTAGAAGTGATAATGCAAAAGAATATTTAAGCAAGGCCTTCAAAGAGTTTCTCGAACAACAAGGAATACATCACCAAACATCATGTGTCTATACCCCACAGCAAAATGGAGTGGCTGAAAGGAAAAATAGGCATATCTTAGAGGTAACCCGTGCTATTATGTTAGAAAAAAATGTCCCCAATCTGTTTTGGGGAGATGCAGTATTAACATCAGCTTATCTCATAAATAGAGTACCCTCCAAAGTCATAGACTTTAAAACACCAGTACAAAAATTACTTGAACATCACCCAAATTCTCCTCTAATAAATCAGTTACCTCCTAAAATTTTTGGGTGTGTTGTGTTTGTGTACAGAAATGAAGGCAAACTCAACTCTAGGGCCGAAAAATGCATTTTCCTAGGCTACTCTCCAACCCAAAAGGGATATAAATGCTACTCTCCCTCTACCAAAACGGTCCACATCACAAAGAATGTTGTGTTTTATGAAGATGATGCTTATTACCCTAAATTACCCATTCAGGGGGAGAACTATGGAGCTGCAGAATGGCTAATCCAAGAACCAGTGACACCCAACAGAACTGAAGAGACACCAAACAGACCTGAAACAATATCAGCAACACCAAACAGACCTGAAGAGACACCAAACAGACTTGAAGAGACAACAAACAGACCTGAAATACCGACAACCAGACTTGAAACAACACTAGAAGAAATACCAAACAGAATTGAAACAATATCTGATACAGTAGAAGCACCTCAAGACAGTAATGAAACTTCACAAAACTCAAACCACAACCACAACGAAGATGAACATACTCTTGAGAATCAAGAATTAAATAACAGCAATTACTCTAATGGAGAATTAGAAGAAAACTCTCCCACTACAAGGCATGACCATGACTCCAATCCAAGGTTAGATCTTGAAGAAATGGGATGGCCAATCGCCCTAAGAAAGGGAGTCAGATCCTGCACCCAACATCCCATCCAAAGGTTTGTTTCTTATGGTAATTTGTCAACCAGAATGCAAAACTTTATTGCTAACAGTGCGCAGGTAAAGACACCAGAAACTTTCCAGCAAGCTATGGCTAGCCAGGGATGGAGAAAAGCTGTGGAAGAAGAACTGAGAGCCCTTAATGAAAACCGGACGTGGGATATCACCACATTACCACCAGGAAAGAAGGTAGTGGGATGCAAGTGGGTGTTCACTCCAAAGTACAACCCTGACGGAAGCCTGAACAAATATAAGGCCAGGCTAGTAGCAAAAGGGTACACCCAGACCTATGGAATAGACTATCAAGAAACCTTTGCTCCAGTAGCCAAATTCAACTCTATCAAAATCCTACTCTCGGTGGCTGCCAATCTGGACTGGCCTCTACATCAACTAGACGTGAAGAATGCCTTCCTAAATGGAGACTTGGAGGAGGAAGTGTTTATGGAGATACCAGAAGGGGTACAAAGACCTGAAAATGCCACTAAAGTGTGCAAACTCAGAAAAGCTCTATATGGGCTAAAACAATCCCCAAGGGCTTGGTTTGACAGATTTGCAAAGGCGTTGAGAAGGATTGGATACTCACAAGGCCAAGCTGATCACACCCTATTCGTAAGACACAGAAATAAAGGGGTCACCATCCTTATTGTCTACGTGGATGACATTGTGATCACAGGGAACGATGAAGAGTCAATAGGATCCCTAAAGAAGGCTCTTGCAAATGAATTCCAAGTAAAAGACCTTGGGCAAATGAGATACTTCCTAGGCATGGAAGTGGCTAGAACTAAGAAAGGAATTAATGTATCCCAACGGAAATATACACTGGACCTTCTCTACGAAACAGGAATGCTTGGAGCTGCACCAAGCGACACCCCGATGGAAACCTCGTGCAATTTAGAAGTCAAGTTAAATGCTACTCCAGTTGACTCTGAAAAATACAGGAGACTAGTAGGGAAACTAATCTACTTGACCCATACACGTCCGGACATAAGTTATGCAGTAGGAGTAGTTAGTCAATTCATGCACCAACCCCAAGAAGAACACATGGATGCAGTTCTCAGAATTCTAAGCTACCTAAAACTCAATCCAGGAAAGGGTATCTTCTTTGAAAAGAACAGGAAGAGAAACATAGAAGTTTACACAGATGCTGACCATGGAAGATCCCTAGAGAATAGGAGGTCCACTACAGGATATTGTACCTATGTGTGGGGCAACTTGGTAACATGGAGAAGCAAGAAACAGCACGTGGTGTCAAGAAGCAGTGCTGAGTCAGAGTTGAGAGCTGTAGCCCTTGGTGTATGTGAAGGGATATGGATCACTAGACTCTTAAAGGAACTGAAAATCACCTATGAAGGACCATTACATTTATGGTGTGACAACAAGGCGAGTATAGAAATGACCAAGAATCCCGTCTATCATGATAGAACCAAACATGTGGAAATTGACAGACACTTCATTAAAGAGAAAGTAGAAGAGGGCATCATAAATTTGTCTTACATCAGGTCATCAAGCCAAATTGCTGATATAATGACAAAACCCCTAGCTAGAGTCCAGTTTGAAAATCTTCGAAGCAAGCTGGGGATGCTAGATATTTACTCTCCAGCTTGAGGGGGAGTGTTAGAATCGAAGAATTGATTGCAACAGATTTCCTAGCCGTTAGAATCTTATCACTAATTATATGCTCTTTCCTTATTTGTAGACCTAGAATCATGGGTATTAAATATAGATTGATTACCCATTATTACCCATTATTATTTCCATTTAATATGATCAGATTTCATGCCCTCTGTAAGAAATCTGATCCCTATTTATGTAATATAGCAATCAGTGGAATAAGATACAGAAATATTCAGTTCTTTCCGATAATTTTATAATTGGCCAGACCTGAATTCTCTGAGAAACACCATAAAAAACTCAATCCGAATGAGGTCCAAGTTCCTACTGCTTGAATTAATCCTAACTAGATGTGAGTCCTATAGGTTGCACACAATTTAAGAAACATGTTGTAGCATTGATGACTTATGAATAATGAAATTTCCAGTAAATTTCGTATGTATACCTACTGATTATATATATTGATGATGATTTACTTACCTGATAGGTGTGGTTGACAAAATTGAGATTGTAAGAAAGTATAGATTAGCCACCCGCCTGAACTGCAACATAAACAACAAAACCCTCACTTCCCAGCAATACAAAAGAAAAGATAAAGCAACAATACTGTCAATCGTCAATAAATTCATTAGAGCATGCATTGCTTTACGCCCGTATGCTGACCCCAAATAACAAAATTATGCAGTAGATAACTAGATGAGGTAATAAAGGTGAAGTGGGGTCGGGATAGAGAGCAACTGTTTAAACCCTCGTGACGTATCAATAAAAAATATATATTTGACTGCAGTACCATAATTTCATATCAAGGACAGAATTCCATATTAGAAGCAAAATAATATTAAAATCATAATGCAACGTGCCCAATTACAACCAAAAAAAAAAAGGGTTGCTACTCCTTAAGTTGGCCAGTTCACTCAAGTAAACACATTAAAAACATAAATTGGTTGAAATGTCAATAACTCCACAACACAACAAATCATAATACCAACATGAAACACCATAAGTAATGGTGCCAAGTTTGTATATTCGCTACAGAAATCAAACACATCTCTCAAATACCCAAATTCGTCAAGTCACTTACCTGTTCAAACAGAGCTTTTGGCAAGAAAGTGAAAAGATTGAATTTTGTGGTTGATATCGAATTCCCCTGAAACAGTGGGTGTTAATTAATCAAGTTTCAACATGGATGGATAGTGTTAAATCACGAAATGTAAATTATACAACATAATATCAAACATAAAAATAAATAAAATGTATGGAGTCCTATGTGCATGGATCTATGTCAGATCTTGAATATGGAAACTATACATCCAAACAAAAACAACCTTAATCCCTTGTTTTAAATATGACCTCACTCACCAATAACCTATACATTTTATAATTAGCAGGATTTGAACTCAATCCATGTCAATTTACTTTGTTGTGTTTAGTTTTGACTTTTGAAATTTGCAATTGGAAGTTTGAACATTGTAGATGTCTTCCATCAATAACATGTTCTCATCCGGTGACAAATCCAAGTCCTAATAATTTTTCCCCACAAATATATGCTTTTGTTCTGTTCTTCTCCAACAAGAAAAACGAAAAATAACAGAAGGGTCAAAACTTATGGCCCGCAATTTCTTCCATTACTCTCAAAGTAAATGATGCCAAAATCAAGTGATACTAGGTTAGAAGAGCCACATTGGCATTATCAACCATTATTGTTTCCATCCATGTGCATTCACAAGTGTTATCTCTTTACATGAGAAATGGATTCCTTGGCTATCCTAACGGTTTTTCTTAGACTATCTTCTTTCAGTGCATGAATCTCGTTAAAACAACATAGGAGTTTGATTATTAGTCAAAATGATTTACAACTAACATGACAGTGGCAGTTTGTAAAAGATCAGAGACCATTATCTATTCGCTTAGTTTATAGAGATCTACGGGTTAAACCTTTACTCGCCCCTGGGGTAATACATTAATGCAAACCCATTTGTTATGAACACAGCTCTATTGACTATATACTCTCTTCACATAAGCCCCCAATTTCACATAATGCGTGAATATTGACACTACTCGAATAATCGATAAAGGGTCCGAGAGCTGCGCCGACACATGCAGCATGAACACGCTGTTCTGCCTTGCTTAGTAATTAACACCAAGTAAAGGGAAAAATACAGACGCGAATACTCGAAAGAGTGAATCCAGATTAAGTATTCATTTCCTTCGTCCTGTCAACTAAAAATGCACATTAAATTCACCAATCAAAGCATGTACAATTCCGATTCCGAGCTAATCAAACCCCACCCCCCAAAAAAAGAAAGCCCAAAAGACTGGGAAAACAGAACAAAAGAAAAAGAAAGCATATACCATAAAAATCCATGGATAAGAAGGGGAGAGAGAACAAAACCTTGAATCGGACGGGACGATTGGCGTCGCGATCGTTGCAGAAAACGGTACGATGACCAGGGGCTTGGGGCTGGACTCGGCCGAGTTGAACAGTTCGACTGGAAGGTATGCGGTTGGGAAGGTTACGAGTCGGATTGGAACCCATTCCAAGAGACGATCTTGGAGAAGACGATGATGTTCGAATCCTGTCCCATCCACTCATCGTCCAGCTTAACACAGAAACCTCTTCTTCTCTGTCCTTGCGATGCTCTCAATGCCTTTCTTGTTCTTGGTATAACTCCCAAGAGCTTCGTTGTACGTATGCTGAAACGGACAGATCACTGCACGTTCACCTTCGTCTTTCTTCCTCCTCCTACCTTCTTGAATTCCTCTGAAATTTCGTCCCCTTATATTTTTCCCTTTACCCATTTTGCCCTTGTCGTTCTACTTTGTGTTCTTCCATGGGAAGCCGCGTGACGGCTTTCTTGATCGAGTCTAGTGAGAGAGGCTCGTTCATTTCACGCGCGCTTTAGCATAAACGTGTTGCTGAATTACAGAAAGTGATCATATTAGGTAAAATTACTCGCTTTGTTCTATATTTACATTCATTTGAAAGGTAGTCCTAGTAGTTTAAATTTTGTAGCCAGTCTGCATTGTTTGCAAATCATTTCTCGGGTGATCCTCATTAGTCCATTTGGCTCAATTCCCCTAGACCTTTGGGATAACTTTCATGTTCATTAATCTTAAATCTAGTCAATGTAGGCAAATGAGAAAGAGAAAGGAGAAAAAAGTCAACATGTGTTTGGTCAAAGATCCCTCTCTTTCTCTCGCTCTTAGGAACAGGATGACTTTCTTCTCCATAGAGGAGAGGATTTCTTTACTTGGGTGATTTGGCTTCAATCCTAGTTTTCGCTCACTTCTTCTAGGGATTAGTGATAGCGGCAAGGGTTTCTAATAAATCCTCATTTCAATTAATGCTGAGTAAGCAAGTTAAGATGTTTGATGGAAAAGAAATAGGAAATTTACAATGGTTTTTGCTAAAAGAGAATATGAAATCTATGAGAAGCAGGATAGAGGGAGAAGAAAGTAAGAAGCTAAAATTGAAGATGGTGCCAAGTAAGGAAAATGTAGAAATTATGGAAGTTGGGTCCTTCTACCAAAAAGGTTTGATGACTCCTTTTTTTCGAGAACATCCAACTACCCCCCACCATCATGACGACGCATTCTTCCGGGTACTGAGGATGGGGGTTTTAGTCATCCCATTTAGTTGGTAGGCTTTTGCCATATGGCTTGTCTCTCCCTTTTGTCCTGTTTGTACATATTGTGTTGTTTCTATTTTTGCCACTCTTATTGGATTGATTTTGCTTATAGTATATGCTGTATTAACTCTATTATGATTTGTATTGCTATAGAAGTCTTTCGTGATTTTCAAATAGCTTATTCCCTCATGTGTTAAGAGGGTTTCTTGAATTTACCTTGTTTCTGCATTGGTGGCGCTAATGAGGGAGTTCACTTAAACATGTCTTTTAGACAACTACCCTATATGCTACTTATAATACTTCAGTTTTTAACCTTTTTAATATCAAATAGGAGCAATTGGAATCATTCATTAAGTTCTTAAGTTGAAAAATTCAAATTTCAAAGTGTTTATTCTCATATTACTATTCATATAACCCTAAAACTTGGCCCAATTTTGAAAACTTATAACTAAATCTAGAGAAATCAAAATGAAGTATTTTCAAGTTCTATTTAAAGCTTACTAAACAATCTTCAAGGGAAATATAGTTTTAGATTACAAGTCCTTAACATTCGAGGCCAATTTCCATGCCAAGTTGCACTGTTCATTTGGCAAATTTTAATTTTTCAGAATTTATACCTAACTTTGGATAAGCATAACTTTTTGTACAAAACTCCAATTTTAATAAATTATCACTTATTTTAAAACTAAAAATGATATCTATCAAACTGCTAAGTTTCATGGTCAAATTTTTTCACTTGCTCATAATCACGTAAGTCCCAATTTAGGTGCAAATTAGGTCAATTTTATCCCTTTTAATCCCTATTCTTGCACCATTATGCTATCCCATTTCAAGGTTACTCCTTACCATGCCATTCAACTTATACCTACACTCTAACCATATTTTATAGCAGACAATAGTCAAAGAGTCAATTATCCATTATCACACATAATTACATAACATAGAAAGAGGTCTTCAAGCTATGGCCGCCTATTTGTCTTTTTCCTTGGTGCTTCCATACCCTAAATGGTTAGGATTTAAATATAATATGAGTGAGATTTCAAAAAAATTCCAGTAACAAAGAACATCAATTATGGTATCAAAATACATGGTTAACTCATGTTATATGCAAGCACATAACTTAAGCATTCTCATGCCATCAATATGCTATTAACATGCTATGGAAAGAGAGCATATAACATACCATGTGGCAACTCAACTAAACATATTTATCAAGGCATCAGTACAAGGAGCTAATCACATTTCAACATTCAACTTAATCACATCATGGCACATACACATAACACAAACAACCAACACAATTCAATACCAAAATTGCAAGTTTTTGCTACCTCTTGATAAACCTGATTCCTTAATCTCTTCCTCTTGTTCTTGAGCTCTTCCTTGTCCAATTCCAATGCCTATCAAATAAAGAACAATGGCATTTCCAATCAATTTAACAATTCCATTAACATCTTAACTTAAAACCCTAACCCTTCAACCTTCATTTTAGGGTTTTAGACATCATCTTCTTTAATTCAACTTCCTCATGTTTTTCCTACATCATTTTTCATGTAAAATCCATATATAAACCTAAATTTATCAAAATCCAATTCTTTTCCCTATATCTAGACTTGGTTGAGAGGTATGTGTTGGGGTTTAAAAATTTCATTTTCAATTTTAATGCTTTCAAACACATGTTCTTCACACATCCCTGCACATTTCAGCTTCTAAACTCATTTGAAGCATCAAAATTAAAAAAATCAAACCCTAGCTCTAAGAACCACGTCTAGCCGAATGGTACCCTTAGATTAGATAAGTTGATATTCTTTCAAAAACAAGGTTCTAACACCATTTCCAACCATTCCTTAACCTCTAATCCATACATAACATTTAAATCATTCATACCTCAACATTAACCAATTTGGGCAGCATCAAAGCTTAGGATTTTCATACTCCAAACTCCATCAAAACCATATTAAAAACCATCAAACCACAAGACATCATAAACTAGAAGGAAAGCTAAGCTCTTACCTTGATTTAGGACTTGATTCTACCTAGGTTGAGCTCGATCTTTCTCTCCTCCTTCTTCTTCCGCCTTTAGCCAATTGTTCTCTCTTCTCTTGCACTTCAAGTTGGCCGAAAAATTGGCCAAGAGAGAAAGATGGTAGCATATATAAAATTGCTCCAAAAATCTACCGCATGGTAACTCTAATTTACTACTTATCTTTACACTTGAACACTTGCCTTAATCTTGCTTCAACTCCCTACATGATCTTGCCACATTAGTCCCCTTAGGTGTCCTCTCATTCAATGCCAAAGGCCACCTCATGCAACACCTCATATGCCACCTAGCATGCATGTGAGGAAAATGATAATTTTTTATTCAATAATTCATTCTTTCAAGCCTATCGTTGAACAATGTGTATTGTTCTACTTAGGTCCTTCTCTCCTCATTTTGGCTCCATTTTAACCAAAAAAATGGGGGAAAATTTTGTCCCACGAAGTTTATGCATATTACAATGTACATTTCATAATATCATTTGAATTTTTCTTGGATCTTGTTAAATCCACTATTTCCAAAAAAAAAAATTCTTTATGCCAATAGCTTTCTTTTAATGAGGAGAGATTTTTAAAATTTTCTCATATTTTATTTTGACTTATAACTCCTATAATTAAATTTTTCCTGAAATTGGTCTTTACCAACATAATTTGGCTTTAAATATTTTAATGTTAAAATTTGCATCTCTAGAGTCTAGGAATAATTTTAAAATTCATAATAACCCTTCAAATAATTTTTCACATTTTTTCATGCATTATTGAGGCTTCTACATATTTTAAACAATTCAATTTGTCTAATTTCCCTTATTTAGCTAAAATTCCATGAAATTACAGAAAAATCTAAAATAAATTATTTTCATTTTATTTTTATCTTTCAGGCTTCAAACACTATCCTTAACCATTTATTCTATTTTTTATGAATTTTTGGAGAATTTCAGAAATTTTGGACATAATTTCCAATTTTGCATTTCTTTGATCAAAATTTTTCAAAATCACGGTCAGGTCTTTTCCTAGATTTCACTTCAAAAATTGCTCCGTCTACACTTTTGCCACACTACTTGACCCTCAGTCAATCCTAGATCATTTACTTTCTATGATAAAATTAACAGGATATGACTCTACTTCTTTTGATTATGCTAGATAAGAGTCTAGCATTTATTCCTCTAGTTTACTTTATTCTTCTAGTTTACTGGGTTCTAGCTTCAATTGATTGTGTGTTTTTTGTTGGTGGCTTTGATGCTTTACTGTTTTGTAGTTTCTTACTGTTCTTGATGATTCTATTTTAAGTTGCTTTTGGTTTGAATTGATGTTTGTATTTCCTTTTATAATGAATTTATATTTCCTGTCAAAAAATGAAAAAGGAGAGGAGAACGAAGGATGAATGTAAAGTGACAAAAAAGGGAAGAGGATTTTGTTTGTTATCTATTGGTGTATTTTGGTCCATTCACTTTTATAGTACTCCTCTGGTCCTTAATATAAGATATAAATTGAGAGTTAATGTTGGTCCTACATGTAAGAACTATTTTATATATTTATTAATTTTTTCCTAAATTAACTCTATTAATATTTTCTCAACAATAATAAAGTAAAAGAGGAAGGAATGGAATTAAGAAAGATGGTTAATGTGTTTATTAATGAATTTAACTAATATTTTTAATCTACTCAAATTAGTTAATTAGATCTTACACTAACCCCATGTTTGGATGGAGAGAAAATAGGGGAGGGAAGAAAATGAAGGAGGAAAATGGGAAAAGAAATGAATTTTCCTCTGTTTGGACGATGAGAGAAAAGTGAGAGGAAAGAAAAAAAGAAAAAAAATAGGATGTGAGACCCACTTTATTTTCTCTCCAACTTTTCTATCCACATATGGAGAGAAAATGAGAAGAAAACTCATATTCCCCACATGCCCTCCTCAAATATAATTCAATAATATCACATTCTATCTTTAATACAAGTTTTTCTTTTTAATTTTTCTTATGACAGCTTCATAATTCAACAAAATTATCTCATTATATTGTGTCCAAAATCAAAGAACTCCATTTTTTCACATTCAATCAACAATGCAGGAAATTCGCACAAATTAATATATATATATATATATATATAATATAATTTCTTCATCTCTTTTAACTTTTAT